GCGAGCGGTAGACGAGGAAGAGAGAGGAGAGAGAGAGAGAGAGAGAGAGAGAGAGAGAGAGAGAAAGAGAGAACAGAGGGAGATGGCTTCTGATAAATTGACTTTGAACAGAGGTCTGAATAAAAAGACAGAGATAACAGGCAGGGGGACAAGAGGTTCCTAAGCTGGGAATCAGCTTGGTAAACCTAGAAGAGCAAGAGAGTGAGACTATGATGGGTCAGGGAATGGGTCCAGGGCGAGCAGAGGAGATAAGGTTGAAAAGATAATGAATACATAGAGGTTTCTTCCTTCTCACACAGGTAGACCCTGAAGCACAGGCTCAGGAGAGGGGATTTGTATCTAGGTGTAATGTGAAACCACAGCTGAGTTACGAGCACCAGGTGAGCGGTCTTATTTTTTTCAAAGGTCACTCAGGCTGTGGAGTTAAGCACTGGGGACAGTCAGGAGGCCTCTGCTGCACCTCTGGAGAGACCACTGTGGACTGGATCAGGTGGAGGCCGTGGTCAGATTCGGGACTGGTTTGGGAGGGGGAGTTGGCCGGACTTGCTGACAGGCTGGATGTGGGATGTGCGGGGAGGAGAGGACTCAGGTTCTTCTAGGTCTTCAGCCATTTTTCTGAGGTGAGAAAGACCAGGTAAGTGGTGACGTGTGCTGGGGCGTGAGGAGCAGGAACTGTTTCCGAAATGGTAAATGCGATGACCCCACGTGGAAGGGACAGTCTGACAGACACATCTGATATGCCTGTGTGGCATTTAGAAGAGAGGTCAGGGCCCAAAATAGAAATGGAGGTATCAGGAGAGTAGAGAAAATATTTTCAGTGCTCTGACAGGTTTAAATCCTGACTAGGTTGAGGTCACCCAAAGAGTAAGAGGGTCAGTACTGAGCTTTGGGGCTCTTCCTCATTCCAAGGACAGGAGGGCCATCTCTTCAGGAGGTTTACTTCATACTGAATGGTGGTTATCATGAAGACGATTCATTGGGAGCCTGTTCAACTAATAGGTTCATCGAATTTTACAAACAAGAGCCCTCTCTGCATTTCCTGGAAGGTGCACTTTATTTCTCTCAGGCTCATACAGTGGGTCTGAAATTGGAATTTGAGCTAAGGCAAACTCTCCCTAGCGGTGAATCAGTTATTAGTCAATTCCTGCAGTGTAGACTTGTGTTTTTCAATAAGGGAAGTCAACCTTTTTTACCTCAACCTCTCTCTCAGTTGCTCTAAACTCAGATTAGGAACAGAACACATTATTGTTGACCTCAAAAACCTTGACACTAGTCACAATTCAGACTAAAGTAGGCACAGAAAACAAAACCCAAACAAAAACCTCTGCTCTTCTCTGTACTTAGGTACTTTGCACTTGTGGAAATAAGGTAATAAAATCCGAGTATCTCTTTCTCATTCTTTTTTGTTGGTACCGGGGATTAGAACTCGGGTCCTTGCGCTTGCAAGGCAGGCCACCTAACGGCTGAGCTAAATTCCCAGCCCCTTATCTCTTTCTTTTTCTCATTCTTAATGACAATTGGAATCGAAACCAAATGCTACAAGTTTCAAGTAAAAATTGAGAAAAAATATGGAGAAACTTTTAACAGGCTTTTGAGAATACACCATGCTGAATCAATAATTATATTTTGTTTAAACCGCAACTCTCAAACTTTTTGGTTTCAGGATCCATCATATACTTAAATATCATTGAGGATTCTAACAATCTTTTGTTCAATATTTCTAAAAATTTACTACATAAGAAATTAAAACAGGAAAGGATGGAACCTAGAGTTTCATACGTGCTAGTCAAGTGCTCTACCACTGAGCTACACCCCACTAACCCCTAAAATGGAGAAGTTTTTAATGTTCAAGAAGTTCAGGCCACATTCCACTAATGGTCAGAGTAATGATATCCTCATACACTGTTAGTCTCGGGCAGGCAGGGGAGTGGAAAAGACAAATAATATTACAGCACTATTATGAAAGTAACTTTGACCTCATGGACCTCAAAATCATTTGAATACCCAAGTCACACTTTGAGAGCCACTAATTTACATACCACTTAGTAAAACATTTAAGTCAGGCCTATGCCTATTGTGTATTTTGTCATCACAAAGTTGAGTTGTTGTTTTAAGTCTTAAAAAGGGCAAAATTTTTCTAAAACATTGAAAAGTGTGTTTTACTGTCCTCCTACTGTTGGCTGATAACCTTGATACCACGACCGTTGGTTATGGGGAAACGTGTCAGGCTCTGTTCTGCAGAAAATTACATATCTTTCTGTAAAGAAGGATTCTGTGTTTGTCCTAGGAGAAAGAATTTTTCCCTCCACCATCAATATTAGAAGAACTAACGTCCGAGTAAAGATTTCACTCTCTTCTAGCTCCAATAATTCCACCAGAATAAAAGATTATGCTTTTTTCCTCTTAGAATTAGCAATGTGGAAGACATCCTTCCTTTTAGAATTAATTTGTTTTTAGTTTAACAGCAGATGATCATTGCAGACGTACCTTGACACACAGCGGAGCACTCTGGCTTCCCATGTCACACTGTGTCACCACCCTATCCCGCTTACTCAGAGCACTGGCCAGATGCAGGGTCACACCCGCATCTGAGAAGCTGACTCTCTAATGTGGGCCATTTTTTGTTTCTGAACAAATTACTAATGCATTTGCCGTACTGAATCACACTCTTTTGTGAGACAGGGCCTCACTATGTATTCAGGCTGCTCTCAAACCCAGGCTGGCCTTGAACTCATGGCAGTCCACCTGCCTCATCTTCCCAAGGGATGGGATTATTGGTGAGTCCTACAACACCCAGCTACACATACTGTTTGCAAAATGCATTATTGGTTGCCTACCTTGGCCAAGAAACAAGTATCCACAATCACTATCTATAACAATATCAAAATAACCGGAACTTACCAGTTCTACTTTCTAAATATCTCTATCCCATACCTCTCCCCTCTGTCCAACCTCCCTCCATATTTTTATCTTTGTGTCTCGGGGCTGTTTGTCATCACAGCTATCTCCATTTTCCTTCAGTTTTGCACAGGAAATGTTTGCAAAGGCAGCAGAAGTTGGTGAGATGGGCAGTCTCTGTAGTTTCTGTATCATAATTGTGTAACAGCTTTTCTCAAAAGCTGGGTCTTGGGTTATCAGCCTCAGAATCACCTTGGCCTCCTAAGGATGAAGACTGCAGGCCCCACATGAGGGCCTATTACATGGACAAGCCTGCAAGTGGGGCCAGGGATTCTTCAGGCATAAGAAAATGAGTCTGTAATCTATAGCAGAGCCTAGACCAACTGCAGTGGACTCTCAAGTTACAGCTGTCCTGATTCACGAACAACTTGGTTAGTTAAGTTAATAGAAGAGTCATCTCACTCTTGTTATCTATAGCGTGTACCCAGGTAAACATCCAGGTCTTGGCTGAACTGACTTACAACCAACTTGAGTTACAACCAGCCTTTGGGAACTGATCAAGTTTATAAGTCAATGGTCCACTGAGATTTTTGACTACAGGTGGATTGCCTTTTTTTGATTTTTTTTTTTTAGGATCGAACTCAGGAACTAGCACTTGCCAGGGTGCAGTGCCATTGAACTACATGCCCTGCCCTTGTTTAATTTTTTGAGACAAGGTCTCACTGTGTAGTTCAGACTGGGCTTCTACTCACTGTGCAGCCCAAGCTGGCCACAAACTCATAGTGATCCTCCTGCCTCAGCCTCCTGAGTGCTGGTACTATGGGTGCGTGCCACCACACCCAGCTTCTAGATTGCAACTACCCCAGATTGCACATACCTAGGAACCTCTTTCAACTACAGAAATTCTTCCTAAGTTTTCTTATAAATCTCTCCTATTGGCTGGGTGGGAATGCTACTATGACATCTTACTTTTTGGTGGAAAGTGCTTTCTCTCTCTGTGAACAGGAAGACTCAGCTGGACCCAAGAGTTCCTGCCACTGTCAGGAACGGGTTCTTTTAACTGGGTGTAGGTAAAGGACTGATAGGCACCACTGAAATGCCTCTTTTGAACTCTCAGTAAGCTGACTTGATTGCTTCTTTCCACTAAACAGTTGGATTCACGCTTTTCATTTATCTCCTTCAGGAGACGTTGTCTGCTTCCTCTAGGTTTTTTCATTTTTTCACCGGTTCTGTCTGCAGTTGCCATTACGCTAACAAACCAGGTCTTGCTCCCTGGGAACAAACAAAAAACACTGAGTATTAGAATCCAGTGTCCCCTGTAATATTAAGCAGACCCTCTTTCTCCTTCTGCAAAATAATCCCACCACCCCACCACCACAGCCTCCACTCCACTCCACTCCTCAGCCTAATTTTTATTATTGCCTCTTAAACTCTTTTTTTAAGATTATCTTCAGTGAGAAAAGAGTTCATAGGATATAGCAAGAGGATATATGGTGTTTCTGAAAATAGTACGAATTGATTCTTGCTTATAGAAACATTTATTGTTCCCTCTTACCATAAAAGTAATGCATATTCATTGCAGAAAATTAAGAAAACACTGAAAAGAATTAGATAGAAAAATAAAAATCACCCTTGATACAGAGGCAACTGACATTAGCACAGTGGGTGTTCCTTTCCCAGTGAGTATCCAAAGGGATTTCATTGTAAGAAAGTACAGAAAAATTAATTAAATTGGCTGGGGTAAATTTAAAGATGTGTCAGTAGTAGGTGTTTAGGAAGGAGTCTTTGCTTGTTAGGGTCATGAATGTGTCTTTGCAGTCTCTGAAGTGCTTGAGAATCACAGTTGCTTCTGCTCGTTGAGGACTGGTGAATCCCCTGAGAACCGGCTTCCACTTGCGGCTGGGGTGGAGCTGTGATATCCAGTAGCTTCTTTCTAAACAGTGGCTGGCCAACTGTTACTGGGTTCTGGATTGCTCCCCTCTCCACCTAGAGTTGGGTTCTAGGTTCTTCTCACCTTGATCAAAGAAGTCAATGAAACAAGCAAGAAGCAGTGGCAAAATTAATTCCAGAAAGCAAAAATGAAGAGTGGGAGAGAAACTGGTTCTGCAGAGGGAGCTTGGTCCAGGTCCATAAAAAAAGGGGTGAGAGCAAAGATAGAAGTACGCGCTGCGTCTGGAAGACACAACATGGGCTAACAAAGAAAGGTTTAATAGCCTAAGCCTTCATGGCCTTGATGTGTCCTTTTATGCCATTCAAATCTTGAGGAAACCCAAAAGAACTTCTACATATGAGTCCTGAGAGGCCGTGCTGGGATTCCACGCCTCAGCTGAGTCAGGTCCAGGCATCCTACTGAAAACCAGCTGGAATTCTGCAGAGAAGTCCACCTACAGGGCTTTGAGAACTGTTCTCACATTTGTCCAGGATCTTGTAATTAACAGGTCACACATTTTCCTGGCCAGTTTTGCCACACCCTAATCTCCTATCTTAGCTGGGTTCATTTCCTGCCCAGGGTTGACATTGGCTCTGCTTCCAAGTTCAGTTTGAGACTAGGAGAAACAAGAAAAACTATTTTTCTCTAATCTAGCATTTCAGGCAGAACTAACTCTCCTATATTCATTTTGTTTCTGGAAATTTGAACACATTAAGAGAAACTCTGAAAACAATATAAGAAATGGAAGAAAAGCTTTTTAAACTGAAGCACAATTTAATTTTTCTACCTCTTACATGTGTACCTTGCCAGGTTTATATTTTTTGTCTCCATTGGGAAATTCTTGAACTTAGAGCCATATCTTTCCCAGTAACTTTAGAGTTTGAACTCAGAATAATGGCAGAACCCAGTAAGCAGCACCTGACAAACTTTCTTAAAGATATAAATCCATTCATATTTGGGCATAAATATAAAAGATAATATACAAGCCACCTGGAAAGACCCTCTTAGTACTCAAGTGATTTAATTAGGTATCTTTAGAGGTCAATCACAGAAGTGAAAGGGCTCCTTTTCAACAGTGGATCTAGCAAGCTTAAATCGAAGACAGCAAAATGTTTTAGATGCTCAAACAATTCTAACGAATTATGTTGGCCTCAATAAAGCTCACTGTTCCAATCACCAATGAATGATCTAGTATTATGAAATCAAGAATACTACCGATGGAACAAATCTACAGGTAGTCCAATATCTCACTTAAACTTTCTTTTACTAAAAATACGAATTTAGCCGGGCGTGGTGGCACATGCCTGTAATCCCAGCACTCGGGAGGCAGAGGCAGGAGGATTGCTGTGAGTTCAAGACCAGCCTGGGATACATAGCAAGTTTCAACTATATAGTGAGACCCTGTCTCAAAAAAGCCAAAAAACAAACGCAAAACAAAGAAGTTGTAACCCAGTAAGAGGTCAATCACTGGCACTCCCTTTTTGAGTGATTTGACCTTGTTAACAAAATTAACTTTTTATTATTTTACTTCTAGTCAGCTCATGTCTATGTGCACGTCACTTGCCAATGCCTTCCGCAGCAGGGACTCCTCCCCTCGCGTGCTCTTAGAGGTGTTGGCCCACTGGGGGCGGGGCCAGGAAGTACGGTGCATTCTTGTGCCTGGCTCTTCTCTCTGCATTTCCCAGCCTCCATGGGTTGAGCACCTTTCCTCCGCCAGGCCACTCTGCCATCTTGTTTCTGCCTTAGAGCCAGCGAGCATGGACTTAAAACTGAGCCAAAATAAACCTCTCCTCCATTAAGTCACAGGTAATTTTGTCTTAGCAATGGGAAAGTAACTAAGAAAAACACTAAAATTTGTTGCATGAAATTGATGTGCGTGGCACCTTTGGCTAGTGGAGCCATGTCCAAAGCAGCAAGTGTGATGCCCATATTCCCAGTGCAGGTTGATAAAAGCTCCCTCTGCCTTCTTCTAGCTCTCAGGCTTTAAACAAATGCCCTTTTGTGGTCTATTCAGGGCCATATTTTTCACATTTGGGGAGTTTGGGGGGTGTTGCTGTTTAAAATGGCCTCTACGTGTAGTACTGAGCCGCTCTTAAGTGTTTGTGAGCATAAGAAGGCAGTGATGTGCTGTGTGGAGAAAGCTTTGTGCAGGTTTGAACTATTGTGCTACCTACTGGCAGTGAACTCAGTTGTTCAACAATATGGAATAAATAAGGTGTGTTTAAACAGGCCTTTCAGGTGTGGTGCATACCTGTAATCCTAGACACTCAGGAGGCTGAGGCAAGAGGAACTCTTAAGCCTAGGAATTCTGGGCTAGCCTGGGAAATATAGTGAGACCTCTTCTCAAAACAAAACAGAATAGCACCCCAGAAACATATATCAAATAAAATTATATAGTGGCTGGTTAGCAAAAATTTTGTGACTAGAGGCTTGCAGGAACCTAACCTCCCAAGAAACAACAAGGGAGTCTTTGTTAATTCGGTGTGTGTGGAGATTTTATGGAATGTAACTACCACAATATGAGAACTGGTTGTCTGTACCAAGAAAAGGTGTTAATTTCCTTGCAGGAACGTCGTTGCGACTCACCTTTCACGCCCAGCTCTTGGCAGCCTGTGTGAGGTTCCTGTGTGGATCTGCCACAGAGAAGCCACCGTAGTGATGGAACCTTCTGACCTGGGCCTTCCGGTTTTGTTCTCTCAGAGAACCCTGGGTAACAGAACTCACTGTCTTGGAATCAGAGCCAGGCGTCCTTGGATAAATGATTCAACCTCTCAATATCAGTTTCTTCATTTCCTGCCATCGTGCGTCTGTGTGCGTGGTACATAGTAGAGAGAACTGGGATGGAAGGAGGTATCTGTGCACCCTGCCTGCCACCAGTTTATTGCACACATATATTTCAGGAGCACCTACTCTGTGCCTGGTGCTGTTGTGCAGATTCGAGACAGTCTTGTCCTTTGGACAGAAGTTGTAATTTTGGGGGGGTACTATTCTTTTCCCCTTTTTTTTATTAGTATATGTTTGCAATAGGTATTAAATACATACTCAGTACATATACAGATTACATCTTGATCTTTTAATCTAAGGGTTTATTGTAGCTTCTCAGTAAATGATAGCTAGTTTTATTGATGAAGAAAACTTTAAAAAACTTAGGAAATGTCACAATGTGAGATAACTTCTGACCTCACTCTGCTTAGTTCAGATAAAGTGGTCCAAGCGGGACCCCTCCCCACCGGATGCTCAGCTCAGTGAGCAGAGCTATGGGCGCTCATACAGGCTCTCCGATGGGCAAAAGGAAAGAGGGTGTTTATATGGATTCCTGTTTGCTACTTTGCATATCCATGGCCTAGTCTATAAAAGTGTGGTCTCCTCACAGTAGAGGGCAAACTTATTAAAAATAAATAGTATCTAATATAATTGAGGCAATGTGGAAATCTGACAAAGTAGCAATCATGCATTGCTTTGAACATTAAGAAGGAAAAGATGCAACAGCCAATGGCAGTGCTAAGGTAGACAGCTAAGCCAAAGAGACAACAAAACAGAAACTTTAGGTGATTATACCCACCCCTTGTAAAGGTATGGGTTTGTACTTACCCTGGATGGCCTGAGGTCTTCTCTATAAAAACAGAGAGGGTTTCAGAGGGATACAAGATTTGATTAAAATTCCAAGGTTTGGTCTGCCTATCTCCGTAGGCAATGACAATGGGCCACCATTTGTAGCAGAGATTGTCCACGATCTAGCTAAACTCTTACCTATAAAATAATATTTACATATTGCTTATTGGTTTCAGAGTTCTGGTAAGGTTAAAATAATACATCATACCATTAAGGGAGTATTAACTAAATATTGTCAGACAACAATGGGTCGATCTGCTCCCTTTTGGCCCTCCCTAAAATAAGAAATACCCCAAGTCATACTGGTTTCTCCCCATATGAGGTCTTGTTTCAATAGCCACCCCAAGCCGGGCGTGGTGGCGCACGCCTGTCATCCCAGCACTCGGGAGAAGCTGAGGCAGGAGGATCGCTGTGAGTTCGAGACCAGCCTGGACTACACAGTGAGTTCCAGGTCAGTCTGAACTGCATAATGAGACCCTGTCTCAAAAAACCAAAATAAATAAATAAAAAGCCACCCTGTACCTTAAGAGACTTTACGGGAAATTTATCTCAACTGGGCTCATCCATTATGGTATTACAGCTGTTAGAATTGGGCAAACTGTTCCAAAATATTCAAGGGCAAATTAGAAATAAGGGGACCTTCCTGTGCTAACTCCTGCCCATCTGATAAAAATCAGGGAACTGAGTTTATGTTAAAAATTGAAAAAAGACCCCTTACAACCCATATGGGAAGGGCCACGTGAAGCACTTGTGGTTACTCCCATAGCTGTCAAGGTAGCTGACGTCCAGCCGTAGATTCACCACTCTAGAGTAGAGCAGGCTTATCCAGAAAATTCCACTGACTGCTACTCCAGGAGACAGCGTCCTCAAGGCCCTGCTCTCACCACACCGGAAGCTGGTGAGTCCATGCACGGCTGAAGAATGAGGACTACAATCAAGATATTACGGACTCTTATATTGCGTCAAATGGTTATGAGCTATTTTGTTTTTGAAGTAAGAGGTTATAAGCCTAAAGATGCTATGCTTGATAAAATATGTGACTTTTAAAACTGTTAAACGGAAACCAGAGGGACATCCCCTCATGCTCCCTTTGATGCCTGTCCGAAAGAACTTTATGCAAACCCTGGTGCCATACTTGACTGTGGAGACTATACACAAAAAGATGTATTGGGTCAGATAAAACTCAGTATGGTTAAACAGTTCTGTTGTAACCCAAAAGTACTGGCAATTGTGATAACTGTAGACAGGGACAATGTAAAATGTACACAGCCTTTAAAAATTGTATACAGCCTGGCCTTGAAAAACAAGCCAACCACAAGGACTGAAATGGATTCACTGTGGCAGTTTATAAATGTCTGCTACTGTACTGAATGCTCCCCATGCATTCATGGAATAATTATTGAGCATTATTTTCCAGATATAAAGCCAGGGGCAAGGGATTTAAGAGATGACTTGGATAATTGTTGCCCCCAAGAAACTTAGAGTTGTTATTGCTAAAAACACTGTTAGGGTGGGGCAGAGAAGGGACACACACAATGAGTCTGAATATGTTTCCTCAGAAGCTGCTTCTAGTCATTTTGGAAACAATTCGGAGTTTATGAGTGTATCTACTCCCTATAATTGTTAAACTGCTCATTCCCCAAATTCTTGTTGGAATAATGCAGGACATTAAAAAAAAAACAGAAGTAATATGTTGTACATTATATTGCTTAATCGATTCCTTTGCCTTGTTTCTCTATTATAAATTCATCTTGCCCACTAAAATCTATTTTGGTCATTCTATTCCTCCAGGAGAGAATTTCAGTGTGTTTGGAGACTAAAGTTGAAACTGAAGTTTCTTAACTTAAAATTCAAGGCCTCACACAAGTTGGCCCCTGACCTCCATCTCTATCTACATCAGCAGCCCCCAGATACCATTCCCATTCTCGCCTATTTTCTCCCCTTCCAAAGTGTCCTCTTGCTCTCCAACCATGTGGACTTTTTTGCAGGGTACTGGGGATCGAGCTCAGGACCTTGCACTTTGTGAGGAAGGTGGCAGAACCACTGAGCTAAATCCCCAGCCAGGACATGTTTTGTTACCCATAACCTCCCTTCTCCAACCTCATTGGCCAGTCTAGTTCATGGAAAAAAAACAAAGTTGTGATGTTCATCACTGATTCTACTTTTATACCATTCAGTCTCCAACCCCCACTCTCCCTCCCAAAGTTTCAGGGAGTTTATCACCCTCAGTCCACAATCTGTGCCACACAAAGGATGTGTACAGGTGCACACAGTATGTGGTGTGATCTATAGTGAATGATTAAATTTTTAAAAAATATTACAGTAAAAGACACTTGCCCTTAATCTCCCCATCATTTTGAACACAATGATCCCATTGTTCTTGTTACCCTCTGAAGCAGTTTTGGAGTCCTCTTTCCTGAATATCATTGGTTGTGGCTGCCTCACTGTCCTGAATCTATTAAAAACCATTTTCCTTTCATGGCCATTTTGACTTTGAGGAAGAGCCAGAGGTCACATGGTGTCAGATCCAGGGAATAAGGTGGATGAAGACACACCATGATGTTTTTATGAGCCTGCCTTTCCATTAGATGGTACTCGGCGCAGCATTCACCCTATTTTTTATTACGCCGTGTAAAGACACTCACAAAAGAAGACTTCCAGAACTGTTTCAGGAAGTGGTAATAACAGTGGGATAAGTGTGTTCAAAGTGAGATATATTTATAAGCTCTGAATTGTTTCCAAAATGACTATTTGAGGAAGATTAATGGCAATGTCTTTTACTGTAATACATTTTTATGTAAACACATACTGGCTATTTTGATCACACTGTGCTGTGGTTTATATCTAGATGTCCCCCAAAGCCTCATGAGTGCATGAAGCTTTGGGGAGGAGATTGGATCATGGTGGTGGGATCATCTGTGGAGTAGCCCACTAATAAGTTTATAGCTAAATGTGGCCTTGGGAAGTGAAGCCTAGGTAGAGAAGGTGGGTCACTGGGGGAGTGGCCTAGAAAAATTGTATCTCCCTTGATTTCTGTTTCCTGCCTACCCTGCCATGGGCTGTTTTTCCTCTGTGATGCCCCTTTGCCAATGCTGCCCTGCCTTGGAGCCAGATGATTATGGACTGAAACATCTACACACTGTGAGCTAAAGTAAACCTCTCCTCCTTAGAGTTGTGGTGTTGGGTATATAGTAACTTCTCAGTCCTGGTTCCACCTGGCCCTTCCTCCAAACACATTTTCAGGAGTTATTTGTTCGCTCAACTCTTAGCAGTTACAATGCTGAAGATTCCTGCGGAGTAGACTAGAGGGAGATTAGAGGTCTGTTTTTGTTGGCCTGGGCCCTTCTTTATGGTTTCAGGAAATGAATTTCAAAGTAGTGAATCAGCAGGCAATGGGGGGGGGTGTTGCACAATCTTCTTAGCATAAATCTGGCAATGAAGGTTTAATTGCTTTAGATGGGAAGGGTTTACAGAGGCGGATTTATTGTAACATTAATAAGGCTTAAGCTTCAGAGTGTCTTTGAAGATCTTAGATGTCATTTTGTACTTTAATTTTAAGGTCAATTTCTTCAAGAACTCTTCCTCCTCGAGATCATTTAAAAATTTGAACCAAACCCAGGGAATAAGGAGGTTGAGGAGAGTACAAAGTTTCAATTTAATTTAGGTAATTAAAAACTGAGAAAGGGCAAAGGCAAGGGAGGGGGTAAAGGGGATCAAAAATGATCAAGATGTGATATATATAATTCTCTCACTGTGACAAAACATCTCAGAAAAACAAGCTTACGGGAGGAAGTCTGTTTTCGTTCAGTTTCAGAAAGCTCAGTCCATGATTCCTTGGTCCTGTTGCCAGGCAGAACCTCATAGTGGGGAGCACATGACAGGGTAAAGCTGCCCACCTCATGGTGGACAGAAGAGAGACAGAAGAAGAAGCAGGTCCCAATGTACCTTTCAAGGTGCCCCAGTGTCCCAACTTCCTCCCAGTAGCCCCATCTCTTAAGTCCCACCGTCTCCTGACACCGCTACCAGCTGGGGTTCCGGCCTTCAACGAAAGAGCCTTTGGAAGGAATTTAGGATCCAAGCCATAGGAGACGACTGGTTTTGTCAGATTTTCAGCAGTCTCCTTGGTAAATGTAGCATTTGCAAACATCCACTATGTAAACAATGCTCTCATCATGGATGATTTTAAGCTACCTATGGTGATGTTTGCCAGAGCTGGATTTGGGAAGAAAGAAGCCTCGCCAGCTCCCCGAAGCCTGAGCTTCCTGTGAACTTCCTAAGCAGGTTATACAACGTGGAGCATCCCCGGATTGGATGTGAAACTCAGAGATCTAGAAAAGTGGCAGAATAATCTGCTTTCATTCATCAGCTTGGTCTCCCTGTGCTGACGACCTCCATTGGCATCACGGACCAAGAGGAAGAAAATTAAAAAAAAAACAAAAAACAAAAAACCAAAAACCTCAGAAAGGTAAACCCTGGCACTATTTTCCCCTTGGAATGTAATAAATGAAAACAAATGAAATGCCTTCATCTGGGGGAAAGTACACACGGGGCATTCTGACTTCCAGCCTTCTCCTCCACCCCTCCACTCCCAACTTGATCTTTCTGCAGATCAGAACAGCACAGCCTCTGCTGCCCAGGCGTCCACAGTACAGTGAGTCCTGCAAAGGGAATGGGGCAGCCCAGTCCTCCCCACCTCCCTGCAAAGCATCACGGATTATACGTTCGCATCTTAGCCTCTGAAGCCCTTGGACTGCAGGGAACCTTTGCTCGGGGACGGCCACATCACTCCTAGTGGCACCATGGGCTTGGCTCCTACCTGCTGTGCAGATCTCCTATCTCTGAGTTGTCTCTTACTCAAATCTAATTCGGCCTTCTCCGCCCATTCTGCAGCAGTTTCATCTTGACTCCCCGCTAAGCGATGTTTCCAGTGGTGTCCTTCTGGCAGAGAGTAAGGCTCAGGATAACTTACACATCCAAACACATGGTACAAAGTAGGACTTGTATCTAAGTTGGTTAATAAGTAACTGCCACTGAGGCCTGAGAGAAAGGAGGCAAGTTTAGGAATTACTACGAGGTAGTGTTGAATGGTTGAATGGTCCACCTCTGGGTCCACTTCTGGGCTCCAGTCCC